ATTATTACCAATAATTTATGTAAACAGCTCTGTTGAGGCAAAACTGGAATATAACAAACGGCACCAATTTAAAGCATACAATTTCCTAAGTTTATATACTGCAAACCCATCACCACACTTAGTGGTCATACCCACCCTTACCCAGGCAACCTTACCCATCTGCTTTCTGTCACTATAGGTTACTTTGACTTTTCTAGAATTTTATATACCTAGAATCATACTTTTTTATGTTTGGCTCTTATACTCAGCATGATTATACTGAGGTCTGTTGTTTTACTGGACAACAATTCATTCCTTTTTACCAACACCTCCAGGCGTACAAGTGAGGAAGCAGGCCGGAGGTGCGGTTCGGAACCACGGGCTGGTGTGTCCCAGAGCCAGGCCCTGCCCCTGCGTTCCCTTCCCATCCCGCCGCTACTGTCGCCAGGGGTTCTGAAAACCTGGACACCTCTCCGTGGTCTGCAGAATTTGCACAGGTATACCACTCCTTTTCCTTCAAATCTGCTCTTCTAGTGTCCCTAGGGCCAGAGAGCACAGGGTCATGCCCCAAGCCAAACACATTCCAAGTCATAACCCAGGACCCCAGGTAAATCGCGTTGAACGGAATCACACGAAGACTGATCCCTCATCCAGTAGCTACTGAGCGGGCACCTGCTATGTGCAGGCATTGTGTTGGGTAAAGAAAAATCAGTAATGATTTCTGCCCTCAAAAGAGCTTACAGCCTAAAGAAAGACTGACAGAAAAAGGTAAATATGTGATCACAAAATGACTGAAATTACATAAAAGGAAGGAAGAGGATGCTGGGATAGAGATGAGGGGCGAACACTGGTTGAGGGCACATGTGAGCCAGAGCGACTCTAGGAGGCTAGGGTTGGGGCAGGCTGGGGCAGTGGCAGCTGTTACAGAGGCCTGGCTGAGCCGCCCGTGGAGGGAGAGGTGTGTGGGACCCCATGTGGCCAGAGCCTGGGTGGGTGCCCACAGACGGCCTCGCTAAGTCATCCGCCGAAATGGATTTCATCATACATGCGATGCACTCGAAGTTTAAAGTGAACCCACTGAGGGGTTTGAGAAAAGGAGTAACGCAACCCAATTCGCATGTTTACAAAGATCACCCTGCCTGCTGCTGTGTGGAGCACAGATTAAGGGCAAGAAATTAGGGATGGAGAGGAGGGAAAGGTTGCATCCTGCTTCTGGAAGGTGGGCTGCCCCACTTCTCAGGCTTCTGGGTAGGGGCTATGCGTCATTTTAGGGGATGCTTTAGAACCCCAGTCTTGCCGGCTGGATCAAAAGCTTTCCAAACACAGCGGGCACTGGTGGACTGTGGTTGCTGCCAGGCAGGCGAGGACCGGGGCCAGCCAGGCCCTTGGAGCCTGGAGCCGGAGAAAGTTTGAATCACTCAAATCAAGCGCGTCTACTCTGCAGAACTGATGGCAGGCTGTTGCTCACTTCCCTGTGTGTGATGAGCTGCCAGGAACAGCGCGGGGCCTGTTACACCAGGATCTGCCCGGGGCGCCCGCTGCTCACACTAGTCACTCGTGGAAGACCTTGCCTCCTGCCTCCAGTCCTGCTCCACACGTGGGCTCGCCCTCCAGGCCAGGGGCAAAGAAACACTCCTCAGGCAAGTGGCAGGGAGGTTCAAACCCTGATCCTGGACTTGTCACATCACACGCCGTGGGACCCTGGCCAAGTCCCTCACCTAGAAACCAGGGTGCCGAGGGAGGGCTAACCGCTGCCCTTACTTTCTCCTTCAGTGATGGCTGTGGAGCTCAGACAGGTGTAAACACGCTAACATAAGGCCTTCTTTTTCTTTATCAATGTGTTAGTTATCAGATACATAGCTGCCCTACTGATGCCTCCTACGAGAGGCCAGGCTCGGGGCCTGGGGCTTTGTCTTTAGAGTAACGGAGATCTTAGTAAAACCACACTTCATTGTTCGTGTATTGCTTATCCACCAGTCTCAATCTACAGAGAAAAAGAAAATCAAGAACCCCTAAACCAGCTAAAAAGACTCTGATGCCAGGGACTGTTGGCTACATGTGTCCTACAGGAGACGTGGTGTACCTGGGACATGATACTGTTCAAGGGTCTCACACTTCTTCTGTAAAGGGGCCAATAAGAAATATTTTAGGCTTTGTTGGTCTGACAATCTCTGTCACAACTATACAACTCTGCCACTTTAGTGCAAAAGCAGCCATGGACAACAAACAGGTTTAGCCCTGTTCCAATAAAACTTTAATTATAAAAACAGGTGGCTGGTTACATTTGGCTGGGGGCAGGGAGCAGAGTTTGCCAACTATGGACACAGTTCAAACACTGGAATCGGAATGTCTTTAGGCAGGCTTGTATTTGCAGCTCCTCACAGGTTTAGTCTCCCCACCCTACCCCAAATCTCACACTGGTATCAGTTTTTACTATGTTTCCAATCTGGCCCCAATAATTACATTAGTAATAGCAGCAGACTCAATGTACACTAACATAAACACTTTGCATATATTAACTCATTTGATCTTTACAGAAACTCTGTCATCATCCCCATGAAAAGTGAGGCCACTTGAAGCTCTAAATTGCCCCAGGTCAGGCAGCTGGTGGCAGAGGACAAGGCCCTGGACCAGGCAGCCGAGGGTGGAGGGGTCACGTGGTAGCATCCCCACTCGGTGCCCGGCAGGGGAGGACAGGGAAGTAGTGATGGTGGCACAGCAGGTACCTCAGGACCTCAGGGAGTCCTAGAGTCGGAAGGTGAAGGAGAGGCCCTCCGCGGTGACCTGGTTCAAACCCGCACACCCGCGCCTGCTGCAGCCCTCAGCCTCCCAGGGCGGCACTGGCCTCCCCCCGAGGCCTCTGCGGCGCAGGACGATGGGGGTGGTGGCGGGGAGGGAATGGAGCAAGGGGGAGGGAATGAAAAAGCAACTTCCTTCTAGCTAAAGTCAGTGTCCAATGCAGCCCTGGGAATGCGGATCCAATGACATTGTGCTTGTCTGTGCACAGTCACCAGATACCAGGGGACGGGGACACTGTGGAAAAACAACTCGAACTCTCACGTACTGCACTGTGTTCAAAAGTCTGAGGAGAGGTCCTGAATTTGTATGAAAACTTTACAGTACTTTGATCTCTTTGTACCTTTCTCATCCAAGAATGCTGGGTAATGACGCAATAAAACTGACATAACAGCCCAGATTTGGGGTATTGAGACAAAAGCTAATGTGGAGACCCTGCCACTCGCCAGCCTGTAACAGTTGGCCACGCACAGCACTGGAAAGGTTGGGTCACCTGTAGGATTTGGGAGAATTTCCGAATCGCCCAATCCTGACAGGCATCAAAAAACCACCCTTATTCTACCCCAGGAAAGGCGACCCAAAGCGCAGAGCTGACGAATTGTTTCGGTTTCTAGGAACACCAAACAGCTGCCAGCGGCACCCGGGAGGAAGCTGTGCTCGGTTTCAAAACAGAAGTGATATAATCTGAAGGTCAGGGTCACACAGACATGCAGGTGCGGAGGGGAGAAGGCCCACACCTCCTAAAGCCAGTGCCAGGACCCACTCATTTCACAATCGAGCCGAGAGTGGGAACACCCAGTTATCTTTTTTAACTCAAGTTGGGCTGCAAGTGAGCTGAGTTAGCTCTGTTTAATGGGCAAATTCTGATACAAAGATGTGTAAATTCATGGGAAGATCTTAAATAACCATTTAAAGCTAGTCTGATTTTATTTGACTTGGGAGGAGAAGATATGGAATAAGACAGGTAGGAAGAAATCTTATTTTCCAGCCCGGGTTTCAGCAGCTCAGCACTGCTGGTATTTGGTGACACCGTTCCCTGCGGTGGGCTGTCCTGGGCGCTGACAGATGTTCACAGCATCCCTGACCTCCCCCGACCAGGTGCCACCAGCACATCCCCTCAGTCACAACAACCAAGACTGTCTGCAGACACGGCCACGGGTCAGCTGGGGTGAAGCGGCCCCCAGCTGAGAACCACTACACGGAGGTGGAAGTCCAGCCACTGCAGCACAGACAGTTACTCTCTGCAGTCGAACCCGCTCCTGGAAGCCCTCGCCCCCTCGGCACGGGCAGCAGGGCTGTCCCTGTCTGACTGGGGTCAGAAAGCACAGCAGGGAGTTCTCAGCCTGATCTGCGTGGCTGCTGCCTCCGTGGGCTGACTCCTGACGTCCTCTGTGAGCGAGACGTGATCATGTGAGACCACAGTTCCTGATCATTCCAGAAGGTGATCAACGTTTATGTTTAGATGAGGCAAGTTTTGAACTCTTGTAGTCTGTTCCGTCCTCCACAAACATGTCCTCAAAGTAATTATTACATTCCCACACCTCCCATATAGAAAGACCTCCACTTCATGTTAACGGTCACCATCGGCTCCCTTCCTGTTTTACCTTCCCCAGACGTGCTCTGGCGACCTCGCAGGAGCGCCGAGGAGCCCTCTGGGCCCCACCAGCCCAGCGCTTTGGGAAAACCTGGCTCAGTCTTTGGCCAAAGATGCTGCTTTGTCCAAGACCACCCTGAGCAAAGCGCCGTCAGTCCTGCCAGGCATCTCCTTGCCGGGCCGGCTGAATGCTGACCGCGGCGAGCGCGGACTACAGCCAAGCGGATGCGCAGGCCACTGCCCGCCCCAGGCCCAGGGAGCGCCTCTCCTCATGCGTCATCTGACAAAAGGCAAGCAAAGAGCCACTGGCCAAACGGTCTCTCTGTGCAAAGCTCTGCTCCAGAAAGATACTCGGCTTCTGTGGGAACCTGGCTTTCGGGAGCAAACACAGGATGTGAAAGAAGCTGTAATATGTCACTTCCAACAGGCAAAGAGCGAAGGGCTTTGCTGGGCAGCCATCACTAGGTACCCAGATGCTCAGCAACCACATCCTTGCCTGTTCTTGTTTACTTCTAAGCAGATCCCATTAAGCCCTGGGCACTTGGCTTGATTACTCCCTGAACCAAAGTGAAGTGAAATTACCCAACAAGCGTCTTCTCAGAGAGAGACAGGCGAACACTGGCTGCCTCACCTTCCAGAAGCTATCCACTTTGCCGTACACCAGGGACTGGTTCTGCCTCTTGATCTCGTTGATGTGGTGGACGTCGCTGGAGTTCAGGTGCTGCTCCACCACGAAGCCCAGGAAGCTGTTGTCTGGGGTGTGAGCTGGTGGGGGAGGGAAGGGCAGGGCAGTTAGGATTTAATTAGGAAGAAGAAACAACAACCACACATGTAATACAAGCCATCTCGCAGAGAATTATATGTTTTTATTTCACTCTGCTCTCTCTTACGTGGGAGGGGCGAGGAGCGGCCAGCTCCCACGTATCCCCAGCAAAACTCACATGAGAATAATTCTCTGCAGGACGGATAAACCCAAACCAAGTCCTGCCTTTTTTAGTGAAAAATACATTTGTCTAAAAAGCATTCAGCTGAGTGCTCTCCTCCTTCCTGCTTTCTGAGAACAAGGCTACTGTCTCTGGACAGAAATGCCCTCACCCGGGTTTTACCAACTAGTAATCAGAACTTTGCAGGGAGCAGGGCTGAATCAGTGGTCAACAGAGCTGGGGGCGCTGGCGGTGGGCCCCACACAATCTATTCAGACTCCAGCTGTTTTCACCATCCAGTTGAGTAAAAGGGGATTTGGGGCAAACCCAAACACCACCACCCCACCCCTCCAGGAATCGCCAATGGAAGGCATCATCATGGGGCTGTATTAAACCATGAACCAAATGAAGAAAGTGAAAGGTGGAGCCCCTCAACTGGGATGTGAACCACCTGGGACAATGTCTGGTCCGCAGGGCAGACTATTCTGGAAAAGAAAAGGCATTCCCTCTGGATCGCTTATAACTCAAGTTCTAAAACTGATATTGTAATTAACCCAGTTATTAATTAGTAACTGGAAAAGAGCAAAGGGAAGGCCAAACAGACACGTGCCCAGTAAAGTCTGACTGAAATAGGGAAGACCTGCATGTCAGTCACACCTGGGAACAGGTCACTGGCCAGGGTAGGTGTGGCCACTGCAAGCACGGGACGATCTGAGATCTAAACTCCTAAACCAGGGTTTTCTCTCTCAAGCGCTGGGCTCCTGGCTCTCTTGTTGCAGGGGGTGCGCTACCCTACATTTGCCCACGTGGCTCATGGCCATGTGGACCCCACACAATGTACTGATGGAAACTCTGGACACTGGCTCTGCTTCTAGCTCGGCTGAGTCCCCAGCTGCACCTCTTCCGGGACTGGTTAAGGGAAATGGGACTTGGCAAATGCAGGGATGTAATTCCCATACAAAACCGTTTTCTACCACATCTCATCCTCCCGTGGGGACCTCTGGAAACACTTATTCCAGTGGTACCCAGGAACCCCACTCTCATTAGCAGTAGAGAAGGGCAATCCATGCAATTTTCCAATAACAAAACTTCACTATTTTAACACTTGACCAAGGGGAAAAGCAGCCACAAACCCTCATCAAACATTTGCTTCGTTTTTACAATTTTAAAAGAATTTCACCAGAAGGCAACAATCAGAAAATGATTCTCTTTTTATAGAAGGACCCTCCTCTCCTGTACATTCATCCTGACCAGAGAATTCTGCGTTTCAAGATGACCCTGCTGAGGCCCCACGACATTAAACGAAGCCGCGGCTCCGTTGGACTCTGACCCGAACAGAGCAGCTATAGATAACTCAGTGGAGCAGTACTCGACGATCAGTGAAATCCACACAGCACATAGTCATTCAACACAACCACATTCGCCCACAGGTGTGTGATCGACAAATGAAAGAAGGTTCTTCGTCGGGTCTTGGTTTTCGCAGGACTCGGGAGCCCCTTCTGCAGGCAGGAGGCCAGCACGGACGTCCTTCGAGATGGGCAGGGGTTGGGAACCTGAAGCCCCCGGCCCTCGCTCAACGCCCTGAGTGAAGGTGGCGGAGGGAACACTGGCGAAAAGCCTGAACTGTAGAGATGAACGGGCTGCGTAAATACTGTTATCACCATCCAGGCTCCCAGGCTTTTGCCTAATGGGGGTGACAGAATGAGGAGATAATAGGGTCGTGACTGGGGAGTTGTGGTGGGTCTCGCCAATCTGTTATTTCATTTCTGTTTTTGAACAAGTGCCCAGAGGCAATGGCATTGGCTGCAGTTGGCTGGAAAGTAATTTACTGAATAAATTCTACTGCCAACAAGAGGCCACGCGTGCTGGGGTGTGAGGAGCTGGAGGGTGGGCAACAAGGCGTAAGGCAGGGAAGAGAGCCCACGTGCTTTCAGAGGGTCAAGACAGCGTCAAGTACTTCTTTGTGAAACCTTTGGTTAACTGTAAGAATTCTGAAACAGGACCTGACACTTTTGAGATCGTGTTTTTTATCTTCAGGGATTTATGTGATGATCAAAGCTTCATGCTTTGATTATCTGCCTCTGTAGTTCAGTGATCTGGACCCTGTGTGGATACTTTCTGAAAAAAATCAAATAATCCAGTATCTGAAACTCTTAATAGGTTTTATTTCACGTTAAAATACACTCAGGTGCAGTAAAAACTAAAATGATCATCCAACCCTCAAAAGGGCTTATATTTTCATGTGAAAGATCCCCTAGTGTACAGTTGGAATAGTGAGAGGGAAGGGGAGTACATAATTTATTCAAACACTTGTGTGAGCCCTGGCAGTTTAGCTCAGTGTTTGTGGCATCAGCCCACGGACCAAAGGGTCATAGGTTCGATTCCTGGTCAAGGACATGTGCTTTGGTTGTGGGTTAGATCCCCAGCCTTAGTTGGGGTCATGCAGGAGGCAGCCAATCAATGTGTCTCTCTCTCCCTCACCTTCCCTTCCACTCGGTCTAAAAATCAATGGATAAATAACCTCAGGTTGAGACTATTAACAACAACAACAACAAACACACTTGTGGCCCTGGCCGGTTTGGCTCAGCGGTTAGAGCGTCGGCCTGCGGTCCAGAGAGACCCGGGTTCGGTTCCCGCTAAGGGCATGTACCTTGGTTGTGGTTTGTCCCCAGCACCAGTTGGGGTTGTGTGGGTGGCGACCACTGGATGTGTTTTTCTCTCTCTCTTCCTCCTTCTCTCCCTCCTGCTCTATCTGAAGATACAGTAAATGCAAAAAAAAAAAAATGTCCCTTGGGTGAGGATTAAAAAAAACGTGCTTATGGAAAATGGCAGGCCTTGGCTGCTTTGGGACTGAATTTGGTACTAAAATAGCTTTGACACTGAATGAAGAATGAATTACAAAGACAACTTCTCTAAGTTTTCATCCAAACACTTTATTGAAATTCCTTTCTCTTGTCTGGAGATGTAAACTTGAGGATCGACAACCAGCAAGTGCAGTTTAAGGACCCTGGATGAGACCTGAGGAGAAATCCCAGCAGCGCTTACACAGGGCTCCCCGGCCCTTGTGATCAGGGTCAGATGCTCCAGTTTCTCCTGTAACCCCGATCTGCCACAGCACAGCGGGAGGCGGCAACCTGAGGGCTGCTCAGCTGCACCGCCCCACCCCGGGCGGTTTGTAAATAACAGAAGGCGTGGCCTGCGGCTGTTTCCAAGGAGCCGGCCAGCAGCTGGGCACTGCGTGGTGACACCCCAAAACTGCTCATGGGGACTCAAAAGCCTCAAGCACAGGCCCGATGCTACCTGAAACGACCTCTTTGTGGATACCTAAACATACACCAAATGGTGTCCTTTTACTCTGCCTAAAGATGAAAACATAGACTTGAGCTGTGTTGGGAGGGTTTCGGGGAGAAGGTGTTTACACATTTCAAGGTAAATCAAAGACATCCCATCACGAATGGGACGCAGGAAATCCTGTACTTTTGGAAATTACTCCCTCCCAGGAGCTAAAGAAATGTATTTGTTTTTAAAGGCGGATATTTGAGTTCTGCCTCCATGCTGAGTTCTGTGCTAAGTGTCTCAGAGTGGCCATGGCGTTTATCTTCGTGAATCCTGACGTGTTCGTACGAATGAGAAGACAGAGTTACTCAGACCAACCCGTCGACACGCTTCAGTGGGGGGACTCAGAGCCCAAGCGGCTGGTCGCAGAGCCCAGGCTCCTTAAAGCACTTCTGGTATATAGCCTCGTAGTCCAAGTAATTTACTTTCTGGGCTCTGTGGACTGCAGTTGGTAAACATGCTTTCAGAGGAAAATCATGTTAGAAGGTAGATGAAAACACATATGAAAGCCTCGGGGAAAAATATACAATCTAGCACCTCAGTTTCTTGGGCGATTTATGCTGTATGGATGTAGGACCCAGGAGACTGTTTTACATCTATAAATTAGAGGGGGTTTCTAAGCATTAACAACGGTCTTTAAATAATTTAGGAAAGAGATTTTTTTTTAAATAAAGAAAAGCATTATTTTAAGCTCTTTTGAAAGTGCCTATTTATAAATGATTACAAATCAGCTTGATGAATTTCCTGAGCAGATCATGGCGATGACTTCTTTGAAGAACTAATGTTAGCTTAGCTTCAATAGTTCATTCAGCGACAAACCTTTTAAAGTACTACTTCTACAAACCAGGTTATAGGCTAGGTATTGAGGGATTCCAACACAAGAATGGTTTTCTGTCCTCACAGAGCTTACCAACTACTGAATGAGGAATACACTAGATGTACCAAGCAGTAACAATGTCCTCTTCTAAAACGTAATCCAAAACTTTTATCAAGTCAAATGAACCTTCTTTCAATGGCATAAACCTCCAAGGCCTGTTTTCCTACCACTAAGTCCTCAAAATCTCTAAGAAGTACAAATATTCATTTTCCCAGGTTGTCTGCTGGCCTTTATCCACAGCTGGCCCTACAGTGTTGGGTACCCCCTGCCTCGGGTCACCAAGCACAGGGCCAGCCTGGCTCCTCCCTTGGCCAGTCAGTCACAAGTGCTACAATGTCAGCTTCTCAAAACTCTCTCTACTCCTTCCGTCCGCTCTGCACCTCTCCTAGTTCTGGTCTCGTCGATTCTCACCAAGACTTCTGCAATAGATACGTTCTCCTTTTTCCTAAATAGAAAGTTATTTTTTTCTTGATTATAATGGAAATATATTCTCAGTGTAAAAATTTTTTCAGAGAATAGAGAGAGAGATAAGAAAAATAAAGATGTCATCCATCATCTTACCATCTAGAAACAACTACTGTTAATGTGCTTTTTCCTTAACTTAGGGATCCTTTTTATCCTCAAATCAA